GTAGCCATATTAAAGACTTTCAATTTCATTTTAAAAGATTAATTTTATTAGGAGAAGTTCATTCAAATTGATTGGAGATTTTCAATAGTGTTTTCTGATTAGGGTATATATGGGAAAGATGCTGGGGCAATATTTATACATACACATACATACAAACAAACGCTTGCATGCTTGCCAACTCTTGAAGGCGTCAGCAGCAGTATCTGACATTGAATTAAAGTAGAGGCCATCATTACACACTTGCGTCATTATTGCCAATTTAATTTTCAATAATTTTGACTAACTATTCAAACAAATAAATACAAAAGATCAAGAAAAGCATATTTAGCCCCCGTTTTATCCACATTATCATCTCTTTAAAATTAAAAAAAATGACTATTATCCATCACATCAACATTTAAATTTAAATTTTTTATTTCTTATGTGAACTACAATAACGATTATATTTTTCATTCTCATTCTACAATAATTTAGCTCAAACAGGACCTTAGGTTTTTATTTTGGAAAATGGTATCTAAGCCGTGCTTTATGCCCCGGCTCAATGATCGGGGCATTAACAGGGGCTCCCCTGGTCATTGAGCCGGTGCATTCAGTCTTTTCCATGGTACTGTCCACAAGTGACAAGACTATGCGTAATATCGGAGCTAGTTCACAAATTTAGCCCTTGTTTGACTCCTATTATCAAGATTATAATGAGATATAATTTTTTGGAAAATGTGTGATTAAAAAAGTAAAAAAAATTTTAGATTTACATGTAATATTATTTTATTGTAAAATGTATGATTGATACGAAAATAGAAAAATATGAATTATAATTTAATTGGAAATAATGAGGGCTAAACGGGGGCATAGTCATATGGATGCACAATAATTGAATCCTTAGTTGTAAGTCAAATATTATTTTTAATCACACAATCATAAATACAACGTATTATTATTCCTATATTTCGTGAGACTCAATGTTACTTATCTTTATAAATCATTCATAGATTTTTGAGAAACGGAACCTTAAAAATATTTTAAACTGCACCGAAAAAGGAGTTGCTACTTTAGTGTAATAAGATTTAATATAGAGTTCTATTGATTTCGTTCGAGGTCACGTACGTAGTAAGGTCATTTGTAGTTAACATTCACGTATAAATGTTCGATGCTAGTCAGCGTGACAGAATTGGGAGAAGTGATTCAAATTAAGAAAAAAACTACAATTGACCTAAATCGAAGTATAGTAACCCAATTGAACGAATTTATTATCACCGCCGATGCGTTTAACCCATTAGAGTTTCTCTCTATCGTTTTGAGTTTTCCAGTTTATGCTCAACGATTAGGAAAAATTGCACTATTGGTCTCTAATTTTTAAATCAAATAAGTTGGTTCTCGACCTTTGATTATAGTTGTATAACGAAAATCACCTGTATAACACGTTACATGATCCTCGTGAAAGCACACTTTTCTTCTAAATTTTGAGCGCCGATTCGTCGATTAATTAGAGATTTGAATAATTTTCATTATTGAAAAGTTATTGTGCTATTATAATGAAAGGTTACGAACAAATATGCTCATTAATAAAAATTAAGAAACAAATATAATAATTAGATAATACTTTGACAATATTTGTAACAACGTTTGTAAACCTCGAAAACAAGAATTATAAATAACAAACATAATGCAAGTCACCCCAAACCCCACCCTTTTTTTTTTTTTTTACTAATGTAGTTTGGTGAATAAAGAAATTTTGCAAAAACCCTAATTCAAGGGATCCACAAATGTTCACTTTCCATCACCACTAGCTCTGGATTGCTGAAACTGACTGAATAGAAGGCTGTTTGCATCATAACTATTGTTCCCATCAAATGCCTTGATAGTCTGCTGCTGATTGCTGGGGAAGAATCGGTGGTGGAAGTGGTGGTCCCGGGAGGCAACGCCACTACCGATTAGATTGATCCCCGAGTGATGGTGAGTGGCGGCGGCTATGAGCCCGTGGCCAGCGATGCCAAGGTTCTGATATTTGGAGAGCTCGGATTTGGCATATCTGAGGTCCGTCTGGAGCTGGCGGAGCTGGTGTTGGAGGAGGGAAATGACTCCGACACAACCGTATACCTATTGAAGACGTAAATTAAATAAAGAAACTTGTACAATTTAAATTTTTAGATGAGAACGTTAGTTAGTAGCGGGAACAGAGAAAGTCTCCAGTCAAGTCTCGTCGTGTATTAGAATTTGTTCCTTTTCTAATTAATCTTTTTAATCTAGCCTATGCTTACGGCATTTGTTGAAAAATATAATAAATTTCTCTTCGAGGGTTTTAACTTTTAAATGAAGGATTCGGCCATACCGGATCCCTGAGGCGCATTTCGGCTTCATAAGCAAGAGAATTGACAGCATCCTCGCGCTGGTGAGGCTGCAATTCATTGAGAAGTTTCGTGACATTGCTTGCGCCAAATACTTTATGCACATTTGCAAACTTCTGCGGCTGATCCGGTGGAAAGTATGGCGCAAATACGCACTCCGTCTGGCACTTTCTACGCAAGAATTTGCATGCTGCACATGGCGAGTTGGACGAAGAGGACGCCATTAATGCTGCTACAGTTTTCTTCCCTTAACTGGTTTATTTCTTTTTATGGCCTTGAAATGTCAAAGAAAGATGAAGCAAATTAGCCAGGAAAAAGAAAGTATAACTGTACTGATAAATAAAGAAATGAACAATATTCAAGAAATTGTGGGCTTTTTAGAAATCGGGATCTGCACATTTGAAAGTGTAAATTATCTCGAAGTTATAAGAAAAAAGAACCTAAAAAGAAAATGGTAAAAAAAAAAAAAAAAGAAGATCTTTTACCAGAAGAATAGAGGAAAGAGATAAAAAAAGATTTTAAAAATTAAGACTGTTATTTTCTATTCTTGCACATTTTTCTCAAGTGTCTGTGTATAAATTGAGCCAATTACTATATCAATGACATCTTTAATGGAAAAATCTGTAAGTTAATTGAAACTGAGTCGAAAACTGCCAAAAGAAACTGACTAAAGCTGAAAAATGAAATTTAGAAATACCTAACTTTCAAAAAATACTTTTGAAAAAAAAAAAGAACAAAAATGAATTCTTTTTTCCTTCTTGAAGGCTAATTTTGATGTTTACTGGGGCTTTAATTTCTTTCATATAGGCTAAAAAAGGAGACGAGCTAGTTGAAAATTCCGCATACTAATTTGTATTTTCAACAACCTTACATAAAAAATAAAGTACGGATACATTTAGCATTTTTTTTCCAAAAAATGAAAGAGAAGATTTCGAGGTTTGGAATTGGATCTCGTAAAAGTGAGACTTCTCTTTTCTTTCTTATTATATTTACCACTTCCATCAATCTGTGTGGTGGTGTGTAGAGAGAGGGAGGGGAGGGTGGGGGGGTCGGGGTTTACTTCATTTACCTGTAAAAATGATACTCTTAAGAGTCTAGACTTCAGAAAGCCGGATGTTCTTCTTATGGAGCGCGCGCACACACAAAAACGTGTGTGATTGTGTGAAAAATACTATAGAATCAGAAATATATGTTTAGAGAGAAAGAATAAATGTTGGTAAAAAAAAACCCTGAAATTCTCTTTTCTTGTATTGCGGGTGCCTCGTTTTCTGCAGTCAAATATATTTTTGCTGAGTTTGGATCTTGCAAAAGCTGAGACTTTTCCTCAGTGTTCAGACAGAAAGAATTTTTGATTTGCGCGTATAATATATCATTATATTGTAAAATATCTCCATTTTGTCTTTCTGATGAAATGACAATCTTAATTTAATATGTTGATTGAAGAGTACAAGAATATATATTAAACACGTAAAGAGGATAAAAGGAAGGCATTCTCAGGAAGATGATCTAGAGAGAGAGAGAGAGCACATGGAGATGAAAAAGCCCACGAGCCAAGAGCAGAGGCTATGGAGACTCGGAGAAAGAACAATATACAGACACTGTGTGTGTGGACATATCCGAATGAACAACCATGTGGGCTGGGTGGGGTGAGGGGTATAATCACTATTGGTATCTTACATATGCAGAGTGCAGAGATTTGAAAGCGAGCTGTGAAGTGTCGTGACTCGACTCTTCTCTCATCTTCTAATGTAGTAATTAATGTTAATGCAGAGGATGTTCCCATTTTCTTTTTATGATTATTGTTTTATTTATTTGTTTGTTTGGTAGGTTTCATTTTTTCTTTTTCTTTTTTTATTTTTATTTTTATTTATTTTTGCCACGCCTTTGATCAGCCAGTGCCTTAATGTAACTCCGTCTTTGGCTGAATTCTAATAGGTCAAATAGAGTAGTGCATATGGAAACGTGGGAATATGAAAATTATGAATAATTTTTCAGTCTTTATTGATTCACTTACGAATGCTAAAAAACTCGTTGAATCTACTAAATATCGAGAATTTAGATATGTATGATCGAGAATTTTCAATTTTTCATTTTATTAAATTCATCCTTTAAAAAGACTCCAGTGATCATACCTACACAACGAAATAGTACCTTTATGCTATAAGAAAATTTTAAACTACCATAATAAAAATCCTAATATAAGGTAGGCTCAAATGGTCCCTAAAATATATGGCCTTTGTGCACAGATGCATCTTAACGAATGATTTTTGGCGCTGATCCCCTCAACCTATTGGTTGTATATGCAAATAGTCCTTTTGGATGGTTTCCATTAATTCTTGCAGTGAAAGGTTTGTTCAATTTATACACAAGTTCATTTGTGCAAAATTTCTTAGTTTTCATATTTCTTTGAACTTAATTGCAGTCATAATCAAACCTTCCTAGTCCCAAAAGATAAGTATATGTTTAGGAAATCATTCCGACTAACAAGTCATAATCCTAACGAGCTCCTCCCATAACAATCACATGTTACAAGTCATTAACCGCCCTCTTGAAATTACTCTATAGCATTATCGTATGCGATGTCATAATAAATAAGTTAGCCTAAACTTACACGTGATTTCATTTTGTATTCTACTGCTACTGCTAATAATAGTAATGTTCTTGACGCGGAGACTGCAGCCGAGGCTTATGGTGCTGATGCTCCCTAGTATGGGGCAATTGAAAATAGTTCGGATGCCTATTCAGCGTTTGAACTGGCGTTGGATTCTGTGGCGAAGATTTTTACGGTGGCCAGCAGCCCCAATTACATCCTTCCTAGGTAGAACAAGTCCCTGCGTGTACTTTCAAGAAAGCTTGGCTCTCCCACCAAGCATAGGACAGATGTCAATGCTGTTGGTAATGAGTGTGATTTGGCTATTCTGGTGGTTGAGAATGAACTTTCTGGAGCTTTGTGACGTACCTTTTCTTAAAGAAGCTGTGGCTGTCGTTGGTTATCCCCAGGGTAATGTTGCATGTGATACGCTCTACACATATTATCTCCTTTCATAGACCCATCGAGCAAAAGAAGGATTCATAGTCGAAATCCTAGTTCTGGTGAAAATGTATGGAAGAGGTCTATGACAGAGGCAGCCCCGCACTTATTTGGCCTCACCACTTAGTAATCTAGTTTTCCCTATATAATGATAAATATAATAATCTGAGAGAGAGAGAGAGAGAGAGAGAGAGAGATGATGATGATCAAAATGTAAGCTTAAATGGATCAGAAGAAAAGATTTAAACATTTTATATGTGAAATTCAAATAAGTTTGCTCTTTCACGTTGAAGATCTCTAGTAAATAATACAAGTACTGTATACTGTATACGCATGTTGAGTAGAAGGATCCAACTAGTGTTGCTTTCAGCTACAATTTTCTTGTTTGCCAAGTACAAGACAACACCATATTCATCGACTAGGAACGAGCAGTCGGAACTTCATCTTTCTGACTGGAAACTGTATTCGTCCTTGGAATGTTTATTGATGAATCTACTTCCACAGTTGGCGTCTGCAATGTTGTGATGATGGAAGGTCGTCTCCTTCGAGTAACTGTCATCTTCAAACCTTCCGTTGTATGAATTGTTGCTCCTGTTGTCATTTCAACCTGTAGAGTAGTTGAGCTATGTATAGTAGAGACTATTTACTTCTGATCTTAATAAATGGATTCGGAATCAAACAAATGTTCAAGAGAAGAATGTGGGATCCATACACAAAAACACGACGCAACATGACATATGGAAACACAATTTCTGAAAAAAGTAGGACATGGAACAATTTTATAGTACGACATAATTTTATGATCTTGACAATATAATAATTCAAATTTAAATTCAAAATTTTTATTTATAATTAATTAATACTAAACATGACACAGTTGGTCAATCTAAATTTTTAACTGAAAGCATCATGCCATCCAAACAAAATTATTCACAATATCATTGACAACATAATCCTAATTACTTTGTTTATGTTAAAGTTAAAGCCTGTATTCCCAGTTAAAGCCCTCAACTTTAATTTATTTTGCTTTATTCAAATTTGCCTTCAGTAAAGTTCCCAAGTTTTATTCAAAAAATAAAAGATCAGGAAATTTCTTTTTAAATTTCTAAAATGTTTCCTAAACGATAGTATTTTTTAAATTTCCGTAATTGACACTGAAGTTGCAGCCTCTTTCAAATGCAGACATGTTTCTCAAGCTACCCCAGTAGTGAAAACAACAGAAACAAAGAACTCACAGGAGGTGCTCCAAGGGCCATTTGAAAATCAAATCTTCGAACAAGCATTGCCACTGCTACCAGAGTCTGCAGATCAGTAAAGAGCGGATTGACATTTTTATATGAAATATTCATGAATAATTCACAAGAACCGAACACATTATCATCATTGAAGATCATCATAAAATTTCTATCAGTATTCTGCAAATCCAAAGATTGAAACAAAAATGCATACCAAGAATTATAATTATCCAAAAGAGTCATCACTTCCTATTGACAACTACAGGACCTAATCCAACAGAAAGAGGTGAAAAACCAAAGAATACATGAACAGATGCATGTTCTCGTGCGAGTCCGGAGCAGCTCCCTGGCACATGAATGGGCCATGTGTCATTTATCCTTGAAAGTTTTAAGTAGCTAGCCATGTTACCTAAAGACAACAACATCCCTAACTTTTACATAGGTCAACTTTATCAAGAATAGTCACGTAACTTGAGTATTCCATAGACATGGCTATAAAGTCGATTAAAAGCTAAGAAGCTTATCCTACTCTTTCGTGTTATATGTACCAAGCTACCTCAAGGACAACTAATAATGCTTGCAATCTCTCATATAATGTACTATTCTCATTGAATCCAAGATCTTAATATTTCAAATGTTGGATCGAAGTTCCATTATAGGTGATTTTAGAATTTTGGATTCCGTCCCCAATCCGTATAACATACCACAAGGCCTTATGAACATGTCATAGTAGAAGCTTTATTCAAACGAAAACATCAATCAAAGATTTTATTAACCGAAAGCACGAATCACTTCATACCTCATCTAAAGAGACCTCGTAGTGATGTGCTTTAAAATAACTAAACATAATTCTCACAATATATGTTTTATTTAAAGTATCCTTTTACTAATCACAATACAATTCCTTGTTGAATTCTTTTACTCTCAAGTCTTACAATTCGTCAAGGAAGATTTATCTAGGATCCCAACCTTGCAGCTATATGAGAATTAGACTCTTGTATATTGTTACCTTCTCTTAGTAACAAATAATATTCCTATGACACCTACAGTAGGTATCATAATCTATCACTAGCCTTCTCAAAGTTCATACACATACGAAACGAGTAAATCTTAGCCACTAAATGTATCCATATCAAAATATGATCCACACAAATGTATGTGGATTTTTATCACACGCTACATATGTTAAGAGTGCACAAATTCCATTTCCTCTACAATATGATAATATGGATTTTCTTCATTTTATCCGAAAATGCGACCAAACATTACATGCATGAACAAGTGATAAGCAAAATCTCATGCATACTAGAAGCCTTACGCCAAGGCTAGCACTCACCCCAAGAATCCCTTGCGCCACTATTGTTTACATGCATGAATATCAAATACAAAGTGGACTTCACATAAAGACAACTTTTAGCACTTATGTTAGACATCTAATATACAAACTCATGAATATTATAAGACCTATAATCTCAATACTGATGCATTCTTCTCACAGCATAGCTAGCATATCCTTCTACCACACTCACCATAAGTAGGAATCACATAAATCTCATTTCTCAACACGTATTATGTAGAAAAACACACAATAGCCACATTTATCAATATAAGAGCAAATCTAGTTTTTTAAACAATGTTTACAGCATACTATACTAAGTATCCATTCACTGTTGGCATTATTTATTTTGTACTTCAATGATATTCTTTTGTTAAGGAAATGTCAAAAGAAACCCATACAATTATTTACAAATACCAAATAACAGTTTCTTGAAAAGTCATGCAATTCATCTTCAAACTAATAATCAAAGGAAATGATTTCTAGAAGACTTAGACACGAGAAGAATATTAGATAACACTTTTTGCCATATGACTGCCTTGCATTCAACCTAATGAAAGCCATATATTCTTCATACAATTGGCAATAATGTTTTCATTCCAAGTTTTCAAATTTTAATATGCACAAGATGGTGGGCATCAAAATAATGTGCTATTTCTAATTAATTCAAAGCATATTTAATTTAACTAATTATTTAGAAAGGAACTTATGTGAAAGCATTCCTCCTTGGTAACAAAGACATTTATTGGATTTGATGCTTTGTTTCTCCCTGTGAAATTCTTTTATCTCCTCTTGAACACATCTTCAACAAGAATGTTATGCTAATCCATCCACTAATTCATGTCAAAGTTTCCCTTACTGCATTCTTATCTTCCTCTGATTCATATTGAACAATACCATATCCTTTCAACTTAACAAAGTCTACTGCAAAATCTTTTATGAAGATAACGGCGGTGCCATTTTAAACCACGAAACAATGTTTTAAGATTGTATGTGGGATATCTCCAAGTAGCAGTGTGATAGTCTTCAGAGTAGAAGTTGAAATCGTTTATTCTTGATCAACCTCAAACAAAGAAGAACTCGATTTCAAGTCGTGTGTTTGCGCTTTCCTTAAGATGGAATTTGCTCCCACCAGCCAAGTGATGCACTCGGGTACGCCTTCAGGATACAATGAAGCCATCATATTGTCTGCATAGTGCATCCACAAAGACAATCCAAACACCAAAGATTAAAGAAGTCTACACTCAAGGTCTATAATTAGATTCTCAAGAATGACGAAGTATAAACAATATTTTGTAAGAAAATGAATGCAAATGAATAGGTTTATAATGCAAAATAACCAAAGGGAACAAAGAACATTATTTAGGCATCATATCAATATGATTTTCAAGTGTATCTCAAACAACAAATCGCCATATAGATGATGAAACAATGCATTACCAAGAGTTACAAGCATCCACAAGATTCACATCACTTCATATTTACAGTTACTAACCAAGAAAAGAGGTTAAAAAATCGAAGAAAACATAAACAGGTGCATAAGCAACTGTTCTGTTGCGTGTCAGGGACAGCCATCCCCAATCATGCAAGAAACCCTGCATGCTGCAGCCCAGCAACCCAGAGCAAGGGCTAAGGTGGCCCGACTCTTCCTCCATCATACCAAACCTCCTCCGAATGACACACATGAAAACTCTCTTATGCATCCAATAATGCCAAAAACTGACATTAGTTTGAAATGTTCTAAAAAAATAGTAGATTGGCATATTTATATGCATACTCAACGAAAGAATATGAAATTTCCATCCAGAATATCATCCCCCCTGCAACCGACTGCAATTTTAAGAATTTTACCTCAAATGTGGCAAACATGTCTCCAATACATTTTCTTGGTCCTCCACCAAAGGGCAAATAACTGTAACAGAAAAGTTCATATAATGTATAATATTAGCATATCTAAACTGGAAAGGAGAAAATAAAATCCGTGACAGGAAGGAAAATAATATCTTTAGTATATGAAAGGAATTTGAATCCTCTAATTTCTTAACTGATGACTGCTGGAGTGAATGTTTTATTGAAGATGTAATTGTTTTTCTGTTTTAACACCATGCTGGGGAGAAAATCCCATACATGGGGGAACTAATTAACTTTTTGTAAGACAAATTTAATTTCACTGATTTCACTAGAAAAGTATTAAACAATGATATGTTTAATGCCATTTGTTCTCATGGCTGTAATGCATTTCTCTTGAGAGTGTATATTCACCAAGTTTCACAAAATCTTCTATATTTAAAGTGTACTGAAAAACCGTTCAACCTTCGAAAATTTCTCTTTTTGATGGCTGCATAATATTGGGGTTCATATTGGTAGAATGTATATCTTTAGAGCCTATTTGAGTTTTCATTTAGCCATTGGTAGCAAACCCACAGTATTCTTCATCCTTTTCTTT